AGAGAGAGAGAGAGAGTTATTTATCAACTTACAAAGTTGTACTGAAACCTGAAAATGTCAAGTTTCCCTATTTTATAGAATATCTTAGATTTTAGGAACCGTTTATGGTCGATTACCAGGATCTCCCAACATGTGTGGGTATCCCATTATGGGAACGTGATGCTTCCAGAGCGGAATCGTTGTCCAGCTGCATCCCATGTTGGAGGAGCACAAGCCCAATCCAATAGGGGTGTGGGTAAACAGATGAACACCCATATTCTTTATATTTTCAAAGGAAAACAAGCATTAATTGCATGGCTATAAAAAAGCATGCAAGAAATGCATATCCATGAATATAAAAGCGATAAATGCATAAAACAAAAGGCAATAACTATTCAAATAAATGTTCCTTAGAATTTCCAAATGGCAAGAGATTATTAAATCTGCACCAATCAAAAAGAGAGGTTTAAATTCAATGCTCCCAAATTCTTATTTAATATAGGGAATAGTTATCGTACTTATTGCACAAATGGTTATGGGATTTTGAACCGTCTTCTTTTTAAAACATGTGTACAAGAGAGATAATGATCTCTCTGTCCCATCTCTATCTATTCTCTATTTATCTTTTTCTTTATCCATACTCCTATATTCATTTGCTCTCTACACCTGCAGCTTAGGGGTTTCTCTTTCTTTTTTTCCAATTTAAATGAAGGGGGAGATATGTTAGGAAAAGGGCAGGACTTGTATATGATTAGACTGAAATAATATTCTTTATTATCATGTACAATGGAAGATCAAATAAATATGTTTAGTGAATCATTGTGAAGATCTGGTATTTGAAGTAACTAAATTATTTGAAGTAAATAAATTTATTTGAAGTAAGTCGTTAGTCTCAAATAAATCATTGTAAATAAATGTAAGTCGTTAGTCTAAAAAATTATTTGAAGTAACTCATATGTAAGCATAACAATTATGTTATATTTATTGGTAAATTTATTTGTAAGTATAGTAATTATGCATCTAAATATTATTTAAAAATTGTCATTAATTTTTAATTTTTTTATTCCATTTTAAGCATTTATTGTCTGGGCACTTGATCTCTCCTTTTAATGAAGTGAAACAATGCAGGACTCTGGCAAAGAACTCACACTTCCTTTTTAAGACTAGCTTTACTGAATTTGAAGTATGCTTCTTGTACATTTGATTTTGGCTAAACAACCACTTCCTTTTACAAGTATGAATTTTAACTATGGGATTACAGTTGAAGCATTAAGTAATATTGAAGTTTTGCTATCTTTGTGTTATAGGGTGTTCAGTTCCATCCAGAGAGCATAATAACCAACGAAGGCAAAAGGATTGTCCGCAATTTTATCAGCCTTATTGAACAGGCAGAGGCTCGATTACAAAGTGGGATTATGGGAGCTTAGAATTTTGAAGAGAAATACAGAATTTTCTTTGTTGCTCTCTCTCTCTTAGGGAGGGATGTTTCTCTATGTTATAAGAAGTTGTAGACATCAGTTGATCCTCTCATTTGCTTGTTTGTAATTTTAATTATAAAAAGAAAAGGTTTTTGACGATTATGCTCTTGGCTTCTTGAATACTCTATGGTTTTCTTTCGGGATTGTATAGTATGTCATTGTTTAATCTTACGTATAAGTTGGTAACCACCCTTAGTCATCAAACGTGAAACTAGCCAGTTGGATGTTTGTCATTTAATACACAAAATGTTGATAAAATTATCTCTTATATCTGAGCTTAGATGATAGAACACCCCTAACGGTGCTGATTTCATATTGGACAACTATGGATGATTATGACTTTTCTACTAAAAGTAAATGATCTCATTGTTTACTCTCTTTTTATAAATGTAAAGAAAAATAGTGGCATCTTCACATTTGGTTAATTTTCCATCGAATGGTTAATTTTCCATCGAATGAGTTGGCTTTCTTGGACAGAAAAAGTTTATAGAAGTGTGGGGCTCTAAGCAATCAAATAAGGGTGCATCTCAAAAATTTCACTAGAAGATATTGTTTTAATGCTCAAATATCTTCAAACTGATCATCTCGACCTCAAGATGCATGGACATGAAAAAAAAATGGATTTCAAGTTTTAAAAATAGTGTATTTTGTAATGTATTTTTGGACTGTCAATTTTTAAGATTTTCATAAATTTATTTGATCTACATTATTTTTGAAGTTTTAAATTTTATAATAAAAGATGAAAATAAATTTTAAGGCTACCAGAAAGATTTTCAATATTGAAACCACATTTCTTGACCCGGACCTTTGATAGAAAACATAAATTGGAATTGACATTGCACGTGCTGTCCATGAGTGTTATGTCAATTATTACCTTGGTTGAACTATAATTGCCTAGGATAGGTGGGTGGGTGATCTTAGTCCCAGAAGGGGGACGCCCTGGAATTGACGATTCTCAAAGATTTTTGCATCTATCTATTACTATTTTTTCTATTTCCTTACCAATTTGTTGTTCTGGATCCTCGATCCAGATCTACTGTGTGATTGATTTGGCCACCGATCTATTTTTCTAAAGAATGTAACCCTACATAGATCTCATCTTTATTGGAAAGAAAATGGAGAATTTACAAGGGACACTCACCAAAATTAATGCCTCAAACACACCTTTACTATGTAATTGTAGTACATACTGGTGGCTTTAACTCTCTCAAATCTTACACTGAAAACCTGCTTACTTTATTAATCAAAATTAAGTTTTTCAATAACTGACCTAGTTATTTTCTAACGACAATCAAGTCCCCTACTCTCAGCCGCTCCCCCTCCATTTCCGCCCCACTCATTCTATCGCCGCTACTCCTCTCCATCGCTCAGCCTAACCTTCCTCTATATCTAGCCAACCTCTCTCAAAAAACAACTAGGTAAACTTAACAAAAAACAAAAACAACAATTGGGTGGCATGAATATTTCAATAAAAGCTAGTCTAATATTTTGTTAACATATATCTTCATTAAAGAAACAATTAGATGGATACACGTGGAGTACTAAATCATGATGTCTTGAGTTCCTTTCCTAATAAGGGTAAGAGATATTACCATGTGTTCTATTCCTACCACGGGGTATGGGATGTACCGAAAAACAACTGGATATCATAATGAATATTGGTATGGATCTAACGAAAAAAAATTGGATAGCATAAAAAATATTTCCAGTGATATTTTCTCCACCCTAACATTTCGCAAGAAAAATGTTGAGAATGAATTTGTCCAATGTATCTTTTTTTAAAAGCCTAACATTTCGCATGAAAAATTGATGAGAAATGTCAGCAATTAGTTGGAGTAATTCCGTTAGCATATAGATATCTCGGGTTCATATTGATATACATCATTATATATATATATATATATATATATATATATCTTGATAAGGTTAAGTATCTAGAAGATAGAGACCAAGTTACTTGGTCATCAGGTTGTCATACCAAGTTACTTGGTCGCATGTCTTGATACATTGTCCCTTCACCTTTGCTATTTGGTCTTGGTTACTCAGTATGGTTGGAATATCTTTGCCACTACTGCAGAATGTAGCAGGGATTATTTCTCAATTATCACTTCCTTTTTTGCCTAAAATTTGAAGGATTATTTGGAAGATTGCTAGGGGCTTAGTTATGTGGGAAGTGTGGAAAGAAAGGAACAAAAGAACCTTTAAGGGTGTGGTGCTGCCTGTTGGTAAGGTGATCCACTTGGTAAGACTATCAATTTGGTCTTCTCTTTCTGTGACTAAGTAGGGTTGGGGGATTTCGAAAGTTGATGAAGTGATTAATTTTTCTAACATTTTCTCCCTAGGTGTGAGGAGTTCTCGGCCTAATACTATTTGGCATGTCGCCCCAATGGGTTGCCTAAAAATCAATTTTGATGGGAGGTCTATGGGTAACCCGGGGCCGGCAGGGATTGGGGTGTTATTAGTGATTGTTTTGGGAACACAATATTATCCTATGTAGGCCCGATTGGTTTGATAACAACGAACTTTGCAGAAATCACAGCCTTACTTAGAGGGTTACAGATTTTTACAGAACACAAACTAGGCACCGTATGTGTGATTGAGGGAGACTCTTTGAATGTCATCAGGTGGTGTAGGAAAGAGCAATCGGTTCCTTGAGATTGCAAATCTTGGATGTCTCTATCAAATTAACGGTCTCCTTCTCCCATGTTTATCATAAAGCAAATTGTGTTGCAGATGCTCTAGCTAAAGGGGGCATTTCTCTCGGTTCTCTTTCTATTTCTGATTCTGTAATTTCATTTTAACCATTTAATAAAGTTTTGAATTTTTGTCAAAAAAAGAAGAAGAAGAAGAAGTTATCATACCATAATTATCTTATCTAATTATGTGATTGTCCTCTATATATCTTATCTAATTGTGTGATTGTCCTCTATATATAGAGGTACTTATTGATGTAAGCTTTTATCCAATATAATGAAGATGTAGCCAATTGGGGCTTTGGATCCGTTGACGTAAGGCTTCGGCCTGAACCACGTAAATGTTGTGTTCCCTCTCCATTCTATGCTCCCACAAATTTTAATAATTTATACACTACAAGTATAAAAAATAAAAGCGAAAAGAAAAATATGGAAATGTGTTTCATCTTCTGAAGTTTAGGGTTCTTAACATTAAAAAAAAAGTGAGGGCAATTGGCTTGTTGATAATTTACTAATATTGTGTCGATTATTTTACTAATACTGTGTAGAATATTTTACTTTTTTTGCTTTTATATATAAAACATCATATGCTTTTACCATTTTCTACTACAATTCACGTGTAACGCACTCTCTATATTATCTCTCCTAAAAAAAAAAAAGTAGGGATTTGGGCCTTTACCATTTGGTGAGAATGAACTCAAAGATTTCATCATAGGGGTTGTTGATGCTATCGCCAAGGCCCCAACCCATTTTCTTTAAAAAGAGTAAGTCAGTGGAGATTTGGGCTCTACCATTTGATGAGAATGGAGTCAAAGACTTCATCATAGGGCTCATTGGTATTACCGCCAAGGCTCCGGCTCATTCTTAAAAAAGTAGTAAGTCAGTGGGGATTTGGGCCCCTACCTTTTGGTGAAAATATAGTCAAAGACTTCATCATAAAGCTCGACAATACTACCACCAAGGCTCCAAGCTATTCTAAAAACAAATTGATACGTCAGTGGCGATTTGGGCCCATACCATTTAATGAGAATGGAGTTAGAGAGCTCACTATGGGGCTTCTCAATATTACTGCCAAAGCTAGGCCTAGGTTCTTAAAAAAAAAAAACGCTTTCTAAGAGAAAGCAAACATGGACCTAGTGTTAGATTTGCGGTCATAACTCGCGATGATTTGTCCATAACTAATGAAAAGCCCAATTTTCAGCATTTTGCAGGTAGGGAAATGACCACCATTCCTCCTTTGAACGCAGTCTTTGTCCAATGCCTTAAAAAATCTTCAACAAAAACACAATTCTTAATACGATGTTATTTTCATTAGGCCTAAGCCTTATGAAGAAAAAGTAAAGCCTCATATTGAAACCTTATTCAACGAAATACTTTGGGTATGAGAACTCTCAATAATGTCTCTAAAATCAATTTCCACTATTAATTACAGAATTTATAGCTCAAAAAACGGTACAGATCTTACGGATCCATAAACAGTTATTTTCAAGACGAAATAGATAGTTTAGACAATATGTTATCATATATTAGTTTGGAGATTTGAAACCTTTTTTTTTCACAATTATAATGGTCAAGACCGAGATGCTCGATTTAAAGTTTTCTCATACGAAAACAGTTTTGTATGAGTTTTGAGGTGAAACTTTACTTCCTTTGAAGTTGCAGCTCTATCAAAAATATTTTCCCCTAAATAAGTTCGTTGTTTTTAGGAAAATTGTTTGATGCAGGCTGGACCGCATGACTACATCTGTAGGACTCGACCGCATGACTGCATATACAGTCCAAAAAGTATTAAGCATCCATCTTGTAGGTGTTTCATCTAAAAACAATAGAAATTAACGATCCAAATGTTTTCTTGCTAAAATTATTATTTCTAGTTTTTAGAATTTACTTATAATTTAATATTTATGATATCTATGTTTGAGATTACATGTCTTTAAAAATTAAATCCAAAAATCCATGTCAAAAATAGATTTATTAATAGGCTTGGGCCTTTCGCTATTGTCGTTGAAAAATGACCGGATCTTGAGAAACAGAAAAGTGTTATAACTATCACTGCGGTCCTAATATAAAAAATATAATATTTTAACAAAATTTTTATTTATTTATATTAATTTTAATTCGAGAGTAGCTACTTCGCCTCTAACCACTTCGATAGAAAAACTAGATTCATCTCCGCCAAATCGTTTTTGTCACTTGTGCATCATTCTTGGACAATAATTTTAGAGCGCCATTAATTAGTGCAACAACCATTGAGTTGACTAATCCCAATCATTCGTCCTGATTTTTTGACACGTAGACCACGTGCGCCAAATCTGAAATCGCCTCCAGGTTTTTGTCGTTTTGTAATAGACTGACGTCATTTGGGCATCGGATTCCTTCCCATTAAATGCGACGTTGCGTCCGAAAGTA